TTTTTGTGGTCTCCCCGCACTGATTTCCATAGTGCTTGTACCAGTTTACATTCCAACCAACAATGCAGAAGAGTTCCTCGTTCCTCACATCCTCACCAGCATTGTTACTATTTAATTTTTTTTAAAAGCCTTTATTTATTTATGTGTGTGTGTGTGTGTGTGTGTGTGTATGTGCGCTCAGCCAACTCAGCCCACCAGGAGGCAGGGCTGGCTGGCATGTGGTGCTGGGGGATTGAACCGCGGTCCCTCTGCTTTGTTAAACTTGTTCTAAGTAGGTGCTTTAGACCACTGAGCCATCTCACCAGCCCACTATTTAATTTTTTGATGACGACCCTTATGTCTGGGGTAAGATGGCATCGCAGTGGAGTTTTATTTGTATTTCTCTAATAGACAAATAGGGAGTAGGGAGAAGTTCAAATAGCTCCCCAAGTTATCTATTTTATTGTTTGCAAAATGTTTTAAGATAAACGCTAATTTGTTTCATTTATACAACCAGTTTCTTTTTTTCATTGAAAAGAAAGTTTTGTCCTTTTAGTTGTCTGTTTTGTCTTTGCAGAAAGAATCCTTTTGTTTATTACTTCTATCTGACTAACATTTTGGCCATTTTTTAAAGATTACAGTACACAGTATATAGGGCGGGCCAGTAAGTTCAGTGGATTAAAGCATCTGCAAGCAGGTGCAGGGACCGGGGGCTTGATCCCCAGCCTGCCGTGCCGGCCCCACCACTGGGGGGTGCTGAGACAGCACTTGAGACTGGGCGTGGTGGCACATGCTTGTAATCCCAGCTCTTGGGAGGCTGTAAACAGGCAGATCCCTATGACTCTGATCTAATAGTGAGACCCTGAACACCCTGTAGACCCTTCCCTAAAATATAAAAAATAAAAATATACAATACACAGTATATTAGCAATTTTTGTTTTCTAATTATTTTGTTACATCAATCTCCGGTACTGCAAAAAAAAAAAAAAATTTGGTACAAAGTTTGGGTTTTTTCATAATAGCAAGAACAGTGTTTTTATATTTTCTTTATCAATATCTTCTTGTACTACATCAAAGTTAAAAATTAAACGAGTTGTGTTTATTTCAAACAATTTTAGTTAAAAGATTAATCTGTCATGAAACATTTTGTTATATACTGCTATATATGAATCATTTTATAGTTTCTGCCTCATATAACAGCCAATATAAATGATAATGTTAACAAGAACACCTTAGTGATATGCTAGGAAATTAGGAAGCTTGTAGAGATTATCATGGAACTAAGAGTATAGAATAATATAGTGTAGAATAGCAAAAGTAAAATTTCATTTCTGTGTTTCTTAAAATTTTATTTCTATTTTATTATTTATTTATCTTTTGTATTTTAGGGAAGGGTCTACAGGGTGTTGAGACTACTAAATCGGACTCATAGTGATCCAGCTGTTTACAGCCACCCAAGAGCTGGGATTACAGGCATGTGCCGCCAAGCCCAGTCTCAATTGCCCATCTCAGCACACCCTGTGGGCAGGACTGGCATTGCAGGTCTGGGGATCAAACCTCCTGGCCCCTGTGCCTGCTTGCAGGGGCTTTAATCTGCTGAGCTATTTGGTTGGCTCTTTTTTTTATTTTAAAGAGACCAAAAATAAAAAAACAAATAAATAAAATACAGAATTTCAAAACAAGATGATAGGAAATTAACAATGGGTATTGCATTGCATATTGTTTTTTTAAAAGTATTTGCTCAGATTACCAGGTACAGGTGTGTAAAATTTACCAAACAACATAAGCACTAACTCTTCCTTTCAATGAACTAATAGAAATTAGTAGTACATTATCTTAGCTCTCTTGTGTATATATACATTTCTTTTCCCCCTTCATTCTTTTCTCTTTTCCATCCTCAGCTATAAAGAAAGATAGGGGCCGGGGAGATGGCTCAGTGGAATAAGTGCTTCCCTGGCAAGCGCAAGGGCCTGAGTTCAATCCCTGGTTCCGCAAAAAAAAAAAAAAAAAAAAAAGAAAGAAAGAAAGATAAACTTGAGATTTTTAGGTAAATGGATGCAACTAGAGACCAGACTCATAAATGAAATAAATCAGAATCACATGTGTAAACATCGTATTATCTCCCATGTGTAAGAAACTGAAAGCTCCAAAACGTATAATAAATACTGTGAAAGGGAAAGAAACTGCTCAAGTTATGTTTCTTGTTTTTTTCTTTTTTTTTTAAGTTATGTTTCATAAAAGAAAATGTTTTGGAACTGGGATAATGTGAATGATTTTACAGCATTGTGAACACACTGTCATTTTTTTTTGTTTGTTTTTTTTATAAATGTATTTGTTGTTTTTTTTTTAATTGTGTGTGTGTGTGTGTGTGGCCAGCTCAGCCCACCAGGGGGCTGGGCTGGCTGGCATGTGGTGCTGGGGGATTGAACCGCGGTCCCCGTGCCTTGCTAAGCCTGTTCCAAGTAGGTGCTCTAGACCACTGAGCCATCTCACCAGCCCGAACACACTGTCATTGAACTGATTTTATGTTGCATGAATTTTTTCACAAATATTGTGATTCTTGTCATTGTACTTTGTTTATGGGTATCATCATGTTTGTATTCTAAGGAAATAAAAACTGAAATTTTGGGGGAATGTGTAAAAAATCATGATGTCTGAAATTTATCTCTAACAGTTCAGGAGGCAAGTAGAACAAAGTATAAAACAAATGTGGGGAAATTTTAACAATTAGTAAATCTGGATGAAGCCCGTACAGGAATTCTTTCCTGGGAAAGTTCCAAGGATTTGAAATTATTTTGAAATAAGAACTCCAAAAAGGAGAACATTCTTTACAAAGCACCAAGCCTCTTGTGTGGTGGCTCCCATCTGTCATCCTAGCACTCACAAGGCCGAGGCACAGGGTAAATGTGAGTTCAAGGCCAGCCTGGGCTACATGGTGAACTCAAGGCCAGCCTGCATTATACAGCAAGACCCTGTCTCAAAAAATAAATAAAATAAAAATAAAAGGCCCCAAGAAGAGAGTGAGAAGGCTACTAGAAGACAAGTACTAGACAAGTCATTAACAAAGGCTTGGTATCCACAATGTAGAAATACTCCAATAACTTAAAAGAAAAAGGTAAGTTGTATACTAAAAATGAGCAAGAGAATGAACAGGCATTGCCCAGAGAAGAAAATACAGTTAACCAACACATTTGTAAAAAATGCCCAATTTGATTAGTAATAACAGAAGTACCAATTAGAACCATGAGATAGCATCTTATACTCATCTTATTGACAGAAATTAAGTCTGGCAAACTGAGGACAATTTTGTAGAGCATTTTAGCTTAAGCTCTTACTTTGATCCCTTCAATTCAGCAGTTTTGTGCTTAGCGACATTCGTGTAATTAAGAAATTCTCACATATGCACACTCCAGGTTACATATCACAAAGTTTCTGAGAACTTTAAATCAGGGTGAGAGAAAAACAGAGAGTTAAAGATGAGCGTTACATTCACCAGGCAGAGCACTTGCTTAGTCTTTGCGGCCCTAGGTTCAATCCCCAGCACCGGAAAACAAAACCCAAAAAACTTGGAAACAATTCAAATACCTACCAAATAGGGAATGAATAAGTATATTTTGATAATATTTATATTTAATCGTGAAAATGAATGAACTAGAACTGCAAATATTGGATGAAGCCCACACACAACACTGAGCAATAAAAGGAAGCCTCAGAAAAAAACTTAAGACTATGCTACCACTTAAATTAAAATCCAAGATGATTAAAAAAAAAAACCCAAAACTAAAGTAAACAAGAGGGAAAGAATAAGACAATTAAGAGCAGCGGTTACCTTGGGGGAAAGGAAGGGAGGGGAAAGTGATCTAAGGATACTTTGGGGTTTTCAATAGCTTTAGCAATGATTTATGCTGTCATCTCTGGGCTTGGAATCCATCTTTTCATTATAGAATTCTTTTCACTTTTATACATGCATGAGATGTTTTATTATAAAATATGAAAAAGGCATCAGATTCAAAATTGTTTTTTACTCCGCTTGGGCAAACTCCAGCTCCCCCTTTGAGTATGTGTCAGCCTACTTCCCACTGTGCTGATTGCTGTACAGTCTTAGTGTGCAAAGGTCACCATAAAGTGTGGATTGTGGACTTTCCATGGCACAGGACACATCAGAAAGGCAGCCTGTGGATCTTGTGTGAACTGATGGCCCAGCCTTTCTGTAATACCAGGAAAAGAACACTGGGGGGAGCTATCCTATCACTCTGGTAGTTTTTCCTCTCCCTTGGTCACTGGGTTGACAAGCCTTACTGCCTTGGACGCACTGAGTGCAGAGGAACTGTCTTGGACTACATATAAAAGATATAATGCAGTTAATGTATATAAGTAACACAAATTTATTAAAATATTTTTTTTATTATAACGTGTGTGTCCAATCGCAAGCCCATAGGTGACACTGGGCACGTCACGTTCCTTTCCTGCCAGTCCCTCCATCTGTAAGATGAGCCGCATGACTTCCTCCGAATAACCTTTGCTATAAGAATTCCAGGATCAATAGTTATGCAGGCTAAATCATGCCTGACTCATGAGTTGTGGTGAATGAAGCTTGGTGCTCAGGCAGTACTGAGACAACCCACGGGATGAAGCCTGGGATGTTGGCAGGCTGAAGAAGGAGGATCAAAGTTCAGGTCTTACCTGGGCAACTTAATGAGATGCTGGTTCAAACTTTTAAAAATAAAAGAGGCTGGGAATGTAGCTTAGTGGAAAAGCACCTGTGAGTTGGATCCCCAGTACCAGAAAGGGAAAACAAAAACCAACCAACCCACCCAATGAACCTTGGTTTGATCTGATGGGTTTACAACAGGAAGTAAAGACATTGCTATTCTCATAAGCGAATGATAACTTAGCTAAAGTCAGTATGGGTCTATTCTTAGATGAAAGGGACAAGAAAGGCGAGTTTTCTAAACAAATTCATATTTTTTCTTCAGAAGAAAAGCACATTCATCACTCAGTTTTATGAAATAATAGTTTACCTTTCTTAACATCTTGAAATTATTATAACCAGACTTTGGTTTCACCATATCTTCCTGCTGCTCTTGAATTTCAAAGATGGGGTTCTGTTATGCAGAAAGAAATCAAAATACAAGCAGTGAGATTAAGACACCCTGATTATTAGCACATCCAAACCTTCTCTCCTGGGAGGTCAATATTTTTCAGGAAGAATGTTAAATTACATTCCTGGTAAAGATGGCATTTAGCTCCCATTAACACGTGTCAAAGGTAAGAAGAAAGGGCTTATTAAGTAGTTATAAAATATATAATTTACTCCTCACATTGACCCAACTAGAATATATAAAACTCCTGTTGGGAATAAGGATGTTTTTAATTAATTAAGAAACTGTTATAAAGATGTTTAACATCACATCCTCTAAAACCTTTGTCTGCTACTCCATCTACACACTTAATTGAAGTCCTTTACTATACATTCCCCTGTCACACTGGGCTTTCAGACGGTGGCGTTGAGTAGGCCCTGCACGTGCTAATTGCAGGCCTGTGAAGTATCTTACAAGCAACAATAGAAATTGAGACACAGAAAGTAACAATCCTATTAAAGTGTTGGCACCAAGACGTTAAAACAACCTTGAATTGGCAGCCAAAAGGAGCACAGAGTGCTCCTCCCCTTCCCTGGCTTCTCCACCCGCATGCCCCGCACACCAAGGAAACAGGGCAGAGGGAACGCAGGCATGGAGGTGTCAGAAAGCCTAGGGGTGGTGCGGCAGGGCTACGCAGGGCTTGGGGGCCCAGCGTCGAAGGTTTGGAGCGGAAGCAGTGCAGGTGGCACGGAAGCTTCCGTGTGTACCGTGGCTAAAAGCAGGGTCCGGGGTTGGCCGGGAGCACATGAACTGCTGCATTCGGGGGCAAGGACGCAGCCATGGGCGTTCTGCAGAGAAAGAGGTGCTGTTGTGACTGGGAGACTGGTTACACAGAGAAGGTTAGAAAACTGGGCAAAAATGTGAATATATTGAGGCTAATGGAATCTGCAATTTGAAGATAATGGAATCATGGTCAGAAGTGATTTGCATAGGGTTAGAAAGAACCCTGAAATGTTGGATTATAATTGGAGATCAATATGAGCTCGTGAGTTTTTGTTTTATAGGTGTTTTTTTGTTTGTTTGTTTGGTGTTTTGTTGGTTTTTTTTTTTGCAGAACCAGGGATTGAACTCAGACCCTTGCGCTTGCCAGGGAAGTACTTATTCCACTGAGCCATCTCCCCGGCCCTGTTTTATAGTTTTTTGAGACAGGGTCTTACTATATAGCCTAGGCTGGCCTGGAACTCATGGTGGCCCTCCTGCCCTACCCTCCTAATGAATTTTAATGTTATATGCACACACATTCATACTATAATAGTTAGGCATATGCCTGTATTTGTGCATGCCAGAAAATACATTTATTTTCCAGCTCTACCCACCAAAAGAGCCTGGAAACACGACATCCATTAGGAATGGAGCTCACTGAAGGCCTAAACCTGGGCTTCTAAGGCTCACCCTTCAGTAAAAATTCTCCTGAGGCAAGGAAGATACAAAACAACTCTGAAACACTTTGTGCTAGGAATTTCAGACAAGGCCAAAGAATGAGAAGGTTTTGTTGAAGGATGCAATATCCATCTGGCCAAATCTGGGATAATTTAAGCATTAAAATAATATCAATGAGCACAACCCATTGAAAAAGGCAGATTAGTTCAAGTTAATATCCTTGTGTGATCGATGGAATGAGGGAGTGAATAAATGGGGAGAAGGGAAAGGCCCTCCTTAAGGTAGGAAGTCAATGAGTAAGTGTAGGACTGAGAGAAGGCCTCAGTGGGCCATTATACAGAAAGCTGATTCACCAAAGTTTGTCTCTGGATGCTAAAGGGAATAGGTTTACTTTTGCTTGTTCAGTGCTGGGCAGGAACCCAGGGCCTTGAATGTTCTAGGCAAGTGGGCTAGCACTTAGCCATGTCCTGACTCTGCTTTACACATCTTAACTCAGTCTCCACAACGTGCTCTGAGACTCAGATCACTCTTTCTTTCTTCTTCTTCTTCTTCTTCTTCTTCTTCTTCTTCTTCTTCTTCTTCTTCTTCTTCTTCTTCTTCTTCTTCTTCTTCTTCTTCTTCTTCTT